CCGGACCCGTGATTTGACGGTCCCGGAGGGTCCGTAGAAAAATATAGGACTTGGGCATATGCCCAGAAACGAATTCCGAGGTCCAAGCCCGAGAAATGAATTTTTGAAGAAAATTGTTTAACTGAAATTCTTAGAGTTTTTGGAAATTTGAATGTAATTGAATTTGATGGTTCGGGCCCGTATTTTGGTTCCGGAGCCCGGTACAGGTCTTATATGTGATTTAAGTTAAGCCTGTAAAATTTGGTAAGAAACGGACTTGAAATGACGTGAATCAGACCTTCGGTTGTTAAAATTTGAACTTAAGAGTTCATGAGATTTTTCTTTGATTTGAATGTTAAATTCATAGTTATTGATGTTATTTTGATGATTTGATCGCACGAGCAAGTCCGTATGATTTGGACTTGTGTGCATGTTTGGTTTGGAGCCTCGAGGGCTCGGATGAGTTTTGGATAGGCCACGAAGTGGAATTGAACTTAGGAAGTTGCAGGTTTTCAGCTGGTATGTTGCAGGCCTGCAGGCTTCGCAAATGCGAAGCCTGGCTCACAAATGCGAGAAAGCATCGCAAATGCGATACTCGACCTGGGCTGCCTTGATCGCAAATGCGACTTTTGTATCGCAAATGCGATATCGCATTTGCGAAAGATCCCTCGCAAATGCGAAGGTGACCGGAATTAAACTGGGTCGTAAATGGGACAAAAGCTTCGCATTTGCGAAGTGAACAGTCTGAGGGGTTCGCAATTGCGAACCATGGTCGCAATTGCGACATCCGCAACCTGCAAAATCATAACTTAGACGCATTTTCAACCATTTTTCAAACCCTTTCAAAACCTAAACACCTTTGGGCGATTTTTCAAAGACAAGTACTCTTCCAAATCAATTGTAAGTCATTTCTAACTCGTTTTTAATAATCTTTAACATCTTTTCTCATGATTTCAACTCAAAATCGAAGGTTTTCATGGGGAAATTGGGTGTTTTGGGTAGAACTTAGGTTTTTTAAATTTTGGGTATTTGGACCTCGATTTGAGGTCCGATTTCAAAACAAATTATATATTTGAGTTCGTGGGTGAATGGGTAATCGGGTTTTGGTTCGAACCTCGGGTTTTGACCATCTGGGCCCGAGGTCAATTTTTGACCTTTTGGGAAAAACTTTAGAAAACCTATTTTCATGCATTAGAAATGATTCATTTAGCATTTATTGATATAGTTAAGTAACTTTTGGCTAGCTACAAGCGAATTGGTGGTAGAATCAAGAGGTAAAGCGGTAGTTGAGGCTTGAATTATGTTCATGGCATCGAGGTAAGTGTTTGGTTTAACCTTAGTGTTCATGCCTTACGTGATATTTTTATTGTTGAACAAGGCTTGTTGAAGTAATTTTGGTAATTGAACAGTGAAGAGCGTTGGCTTAAGTTGTGAAATGATTTGTAGAATTATTGTTGGAAATTGAATATTGAAGAGCGTTGGCTCAAGTTGTGAAATGAATTGTGGAATTATTGTTGGCAATCGACATTATAGAGCATTGGCTCAAGTTGTGAATTTAGTTGTAAAGTAAATGTGAAAAAAAAGAGAAGTGGATTATGATATTATCTCCCTTGCCGGGATGTTGTTGCTTTTAATGTTATCTCCCTTGCCTGGATGTTGTTGCTTTTGATATTGTTTCCCTTGCCGGGATATGATTGTTGTATTATTGTTCCCTTGCCGGGATTTTATTGCGATTTCATTTATTTCCTTGCCCTTATTGTTTGTGATTGTTGTTTGGGTGAGGAAGAGTGTTAAAGCATGAAGGGTGATGCTGTGCATTGTTTTTGTGAGAGAATGTTAAAGCACGAAGGGTGATGCCGTGCATGATATTTGTGAGAGAGTGTTAATGCACGAAGGGTGATGCCGTGCCGCACGATGTACCATTCTGTGCCTTTATATGAGTGATAATGCACGAAGGATCATTCCGTGCCATGATTTTGTGAGATAAAAGCACGAAGGGTGATGCCGTGCCGATTATATTGATATTTGGTGAAGACGAGAGTAAAAGCACAAAGGGTGATGTCGTGCACTTGTCTTGATTTCCTGATTATTGTTGATATTTGAGTTATGATGTTCTTTACGGTTATTTATTTGTTTCCTGTTGTTACTTGATATCCCCGTAGCATGTCTCTCTCTCCCCCTTTTTCTTTTAAATTGTAAATTTCTGCCTTTATTCGTTCACTGTATATGATTTAATTGCACAGGTTGATTTGGTAGTTTGGTCATAGCCTCGTCACCACTTCGCCGAGGTTAGGCTAGGCACTTACCAGCACATGGGGTGGGTTGTGCTGATACTACACTCTGCACTCTTTTGTGCAGATCCCGGTGTTGTAGCTTTCGGACCGTAGTGAGGTTGCTGCTTCTAGATCACCATGCGACCCGAGGCAGTCCTGCAGGCGTCCGCAGGTCTTGGCGTCTCCTTTTATCTTTTATTCTATTTCATTCATGTATTCCAGAGACAGTGTTGTTTTAAATCTTTCAGACCTTTATTTTTAGTATTCTTAGACAGTCTGTGAAATTGTGACACCAGTTCTAGGTAGTTTTGTTATGAATTGGTATTGGTGGCATTATTAAAACATTATTTTTCAGTCTTCCGCTTATTAAATTCTATTGTTTATTAACTGTTGGTTCTTATTTGTTAACGGATTAAAATGGAAACAAGGTAAATGATTCAATTGGTTGGCTTGCCTAGCTTTCACTAGTAGGCGCCATCACGACTCCCTAGGGTGGGAAATCGGGGTCGTGACAATTTTATACTGCAGGCTTTATAGATTTCACATATATAATCATAAAAGTCTAGAATTCTATTCAAGAAATTATGGGAATCTTAAAAAGTTGGATGTGTTCTTCTTATTTGAATCACAGATACTTCCAGTATAATAAGCTGGAAGAATCCGAGTTTTCGATATTAATTCAAAAAACTCCAGCATATTATACTGGCGTTATCTTTTGTACCATTTTATGCATTATTTTTTCTGGTTTTTAATTAAAGATAATTTTGTATCTTTCACATATGTAATCATAAAATTTTAGCATATTATTCAACACATTAGGGAAACCTTAAAAATTTAGATGTGTTTCTTCTGGTTTGATTCACAGATACTTTCAGTATAATCTACTGGAATTTTCTAAGTTTTACGTATTAAATTAACAAGCGTCCAGGTTTTTAGACTGATGTTTTGTTCTATACCATTTTATTTATTATTTTTTATAGTAGTTTGAATGAAAGATACTTCCAATATAATACATTGGAGTTTTATGAGTTTTTCATATTAATTCATAAAGCTCCAGTATATTATACTTGTGTTTTATTCTTGTTTTGGATCAAGAACTGCAATACCATTTTATGGTGCAGTTATAGTTTTCACATATAATCATAAAAGTCTAGCATTTTATTCAAGAAATTATGCCAATCTTAAAAAGTTAGGTGTGTTCTTGTTAATTGAATCACAGATAATTCTAGTATAATAAGCTGGAAGAATCTAAGTTTTTGATATTAATTCAAAAATCTCCAGCATATTATACTGGCATTATCTTTTGTACCATTTTATACTGCAGACTTTATAGATTTCACATATATAATCATAAAAGTCTAGAATTCTATTCAAGAAATTATGGGAATCTTAAAAAGTTAGATGTGGTCTTCCTATTTGAATCACAGATACTTCCAGTATAATAAGCTGGAAGAATCTGAGTTTTTGATATTAATTCAAAAAGCTCCAGCTTATTATACTGGCGTTTCTTTTGTACAAATTTTATGCATTATTTTTTCTGGTTTTTAATTAAAGATCCCTCCAGTATTATATGCTGGAGAATTTGTATCTTTCACATATGTAATTATAAAAGTTTAGCATTTTATTCACAATATAATCTACTGGTTTGAATTACAGATATTTCCAATATAATCTACTGGAAATGTATGAGTTTTACATTTTAAATTATGAAAAGTGCAGTATTTTATACTGGTATTTTATTCTATACCATTTTTTTATATAATTTTTGTAGTAGTTTGAATGAAAGATACTTCCACTATAATACATTGGAGTTTTATGAGTTTTACATATTAATTCGAAAAGCTTCAGTGTATTATACTTGTGTTTTGTTCATTTTTGGAATCAAGCACTGCAAAACCATTTTATGAGATACTTCCAGTATAATAAGTTTGAGGTTTCTCAGCTTTAGATATTAATTTAGAAAGATCCAGCAAATTATACTGGTGTTATGTTCTGCACGATTTTATATTATTTTTTGTGGTTTTGAATTAAAGATATCTCCAGTACTATAGATGTGTAATCACAGATACTTCCAGTATAATCTATGCATAATTTAGATATTCCAGTATAGCTCCAATACTATATGCTGGAGACTGTGTAGTTTTTCATATAAAATTTATAATAAAGTCAAAACAATGCAGATTTTATTAGTTACGATCTGAATTACAAACAGAAGATATATAATACAATTAAGCACATATTAACGCATTGAGAAAATTTGAGATTAACACAGATTAAAGCATTAAGATCAAACCAGAAAATTCGAAGAATCAGAAGAATAATTGAAAACTTACTTCACTCAATATTTTAATGATTCTTTGAATTTTCTGGTTTGAATTATAAATGAGAATAATCGTAGAGTATCACATTTAAGTCTGTAATCGTAGAAGAAATTCAAACAAGAGAAATTTAAGTAATTAGAAAAATAATTGAGAGAGCTTACTTCGATTTGTAGATTGACGTCGGAAGATTCTGCTAAAACAGAATATGAGGTCAAGTCGCGTAAATTTTATAAAGAAAGTTGGGGTATTTTAGTCAAAAAATTGTTAGCGTTCTAACTTAACGGCTAAATATAGTTGACCTTTGATTATGTGGCTAAATTTGATTGACCAGGCGTAAAACTGGCCACTTATAAATTTTTCCCTAACTTTTCTTTTTGAAATTAAAACCCAAAAAGAAGAACTTTAGGCTTGGAGGAGAGTGAGAATCAAATATTAACGGAGTAGTGCTTGCATTTCTGGTAGCATCCTTGTCACGTTTCGTACACCAGTTGTATTATTAGCAGTGCTAAACTTGAGACCTTGCCATGGCCAACACAAACGCCTCACTCTACGGCGATTTATTCGCTCCCTTTTCTCTACTTCTTCTAATTGTCTTGTTAGCTCCTCAATCTGCTTGTGTAGCTCAGTAGCTCTGCTGTCTGCAAGTTGGAGAGAACTCTCAGCTGCCTCCCTAGCAGCGACGGCTGTCGCCACTAGCTCATCTTTCAGCTGCAACTTGCTATTGGAAATACGTAAAGCAGCTCTTGTCTTTTCTAATTCTTGTTTCAGAATATTGACCTGTCGTTAACAAAATTTTAGCATCACTTTTGCCTCGGGTTCACAAAAAAATAATGTTTTCACTAGTCTTACAAGTGAACCTATTCCCACGTTCTTCTGGCCTCCTAAGGAAATCAACTTTCCCAGAGAGAGAGATAAGGCAGTAAGGCCACCCTCTACAGCTTAAATTGGCTAGAAAATGTAGCCTAATTCCTCTCATTCTTTGAAAGACAGTCACTGAGTGGATTCATTAATTTTAGCTGAATTAGTATGTTGTTTGGCTCAAAAGTTAACAATATACTTTGTAAGCTAGAAAACAATCAAAAGTAAGAAAAGGGTAAATCGTAATCAAATATAATAAACCTAGAGATGCAAAGATGATATTATTGTTGTAGATCTAGTATTGCAAAGTGATAATATGAACTCAATAAGATATATTCGTTTGAGGTAGAGATAGAGAGAGAGAGCCAGAAAATGAGAGAGTTGTATTAGATCNACTTTTGAATTATATTTATTTATATCTTATAATTTATTTTAACTAAATATATATTTATTAAAATATAATAACTGGGTCCCGCTTTAGCGACCAATGTTGGTCGCTATCAACTTATCCTTCAGTTAGCGACCAACTTTGGTCGCAAGTTTTAAATTATATATATTTATATTTTATAAGTTTTATAAAATAATAATAAAATTATTAAAAAAATTTATGTGGGTCCCGCTTAAGCGACCAACATTGGTCGCTAATCTCAGTATATCTTTGACCAAACAAGTCTGACCAGTCCAGTCAACAGTTTGACTAAATTTGCGACCAAATAGCGTCCAACTTTGGTCGCTAAAGTATTTCAAATATTTTTTTTATTATTTTCGGCAGTTTGGCGACCAACTTTGGTCGCTTTTTTTGACAGACCAAATTTGGTCGCTAATCTTTGGTCGCTTTTTACAGGGATTCTAGTAGTGAGATCTAGTATTGCAAAGTGATAATGTGAACTCAATAAGATATGTTCGTTTGAGGTAGAGATAGAGAGAGAGAGCCAGAAAATGAGAGAGTTGTATTAGATCAGAATCCCCCCCTTTACAATGTGAAGGTCTCCTTTATATAATAAGAGACCTTCCTCGAAAGAATCAAAAAGTTACAAAGACAGGTAACGGCTCCCTATGAAGACACTGAGTCCTAAACGATGTCGCTTTTGTCCCCACGTCCGAGTCGTACCCGCTACGTTAGTCGTCGTACACTCACTAGGCGTACCCACTGGCGTAGAGATGCTGAGGGTCAAATTTGACCCTATACAGTTAGTCCCTCCGCTCGTTGGAGACGCATTCGGTGGGCGTCTTCGATGGGCGGAAATGCGAACATCGGCTTAGGAGAATTTGACCTCGACCAGGGGCGGCAATATGAATGAGGTGAAATATATGACGTTGTTGAGCCACTGACGCGTGGCTTCCTTTTTGGAATGACGTCATCACCTGTATGCATCATTATTATATTTGCCCCCGAGGCGGTTCAGAGGATGATGTGACATTTTGGTTTCCCGCGCACGTTTTGAATCATGACTCTTCGATTTCTGCGCAACTTATCCCTATAAGTAGGAGAGAGGTTCGATTCGATTCAACGTTCAAGCCTTCGGAAAGCATTTTCTGATTTACTCCTTTGTCTTTCTTTCCTGTAACCGTTATTTCGTGAGGGACTCTCCCACTTCTGTTGAAATCACACTTCCTATCGCCAGTGCTTCGTTTCTTACATAGTATAATCATGACAAAACATGGACAGAGTAGTAAAAAGGCCAAAGATAATGCCCCGTCTAGGGTTCCGCCATCTTCCGGTGGTGAAGGGGAAAAGGCGGAGAAGGCCCTTGTTCCTCTCAGTGTAGACAACGTCCTTCCGAAGGAGATGCATGTTCGCAGGGATTTTCCAACTAAAAGCCCAGACCTTCCCTGGGAGCACAGCGTTTTATTACAATCCCATTTAGATGATCTTCGAGAGACGCACCATATTCCGGACCACGTGGAAATGGTTCCGGCCGGGACGGACTATGCCAATGTGCACCGGCTTGGGTATTGCGCATTCTATGAGTACCCGTTCTTGATCGGTTACAATCTTCCAATCTACCCTCNTCTAGGTCGACCGTTGGCGGCGATGGCCTTAGCCATAATATAATTGATGGCCTTAGCCATGTAGGCGACTTCGACTGTCGTCGAGTCGTTTACTCACCGTAGTCGAATCTAGGTCGACCGTTGGCGGCGATGGCCTTAGCCATAATATAATTGGTGGCCTTAGCCATAAAGGCGACTTCGACTGTCGTCGAGTCGTTTACTCACCGTAGTCGAATCTAGGTCGACCGTTGGCGGCGATGGCCTTAGCCATAATATAGTTGATGGCCTTAGCCATAATATAATTGATGGCCTTAGCCATGTAGGCAACTTCGACTGTCGTCGAGTCGTTTACTCATCGTAGTCGAATCTAGGTCGACCATTGGCGGCGATGGCCTTAGCCATGATATAATTGATGGCCTTAGCCATGTAGGCGACTTCAAGTGTCGTCGAGTCGTTTACTCACCGTAGTCGAATCTAGGTCGACCGTTGGCGGCGATGGTCGTAGCCTTTCATACATTGGAGGTGGCCGTAGCCTTTCATACATTGGAGATGGCCGTAGCCTTTCATACGTTGGAGACATTGGAGATGGCCGTAGCCTTTCCTACATTGGAGATGGCCGTAGCCTTTCCTACATTGGAGATGGCCGTAGCCTTTCCTACATTGGAGATGGTCGTAGCCTTTCATACATTAGAGATGGCCGTAGCCTTTCATACATTGGAGATGGCCGTAGCCTTTCGTACATTGGAGGTGGCCGTAGCCTTTCATACATTGGAGATGGCCGTATCCTTTCCTACATTGGAGATGGCCGTAGCCTTTCATACATTGGAGGTGGCCGTAGCCTTTCCTACATTGGAGATGGCCGTAGCCTTTCATACATTGGAGGTGGCCGTAGCCTTTCATACATTGGAGATCAAGCTAGTTCAGTCCCTTTATCATGTCGGCCTGGAGGTCTTAAGGAGAGGTTGATATGATAAACTTGTTTCGCAAATATCTCCAAGTTTCCCCTCCGCCGCCTCGTTAAAAACCTCCCCGAGAAAACCCAATTGGGACAAAACTCGGGTAAGGGAAAAAGAGTACGACTCGGGAGACGCCTTTCAGAAGTGGAAATACTTGAGGTGAGTAACGTTCCAGTTGTTTTGGAGCGTTTTCCCTTCCATTGTTTCCAACTGGAATGTGCCTTTGCTGGCTACTGCTGTGATTTTGTAGGGTCCTTCCCAGTTGGTGCCTAGTTTCCCTTCACTTGGGTCTTTGGATGCCAATGTCTTGGCTTTAAGGACATAATCTCCTACCTTGAGTGGTCTTATTTTGGCCCTCTTGTTGTAGTATCTTTCGACTTGTTGCTTTTGGGCCGCCATTCTGATATGGGCCATTTCTCTCCTTTCCTCAGCTTCGTCGAGGTCTTGGAGCCTGTTTGTGTCGTTTTCTGTTCCACTGGTGTGTGAATATCTTAGGCTTGGTTCGCCGACCTCGACGGGTATGACCGCGTCGGTTCCGTAGACCAGCGAGTACGGTGTTTCCCCCGTGCTGGATTTGGGTGTGGTCCTGTGTGCCCACAACACTTCGGGTAGCAGCTTGGGCCATAGCCCTTTGGCGTCCTCGAGTTTCTTCTTTAGTATGTTTAATATTGTTTTGTTGGAGGATTCTGCTTGGCCGTTGGCGGCAGGGTGATATGGCGTGGAAAGTATCCTCTTGATGCGCCATTTCTCGAAGAATTCGGTCGTTTTTTGACCGATGAACTGTCGTCCGTTGTCACAACTGATTTCTTTGGGGATGCCGAAGCGGCATATAATATTTTTTCCATATGAAGGCGATCACTTCTTGTTCGCGTATTTGGGCGTACGCTCCTGCTTCCACCCACTTGAAAAAATAGTCAGTTAAAACTAATAGAAATCGTACCTTTCCTCGTCCCGCTGGTAGGGGACCGACTATGTCCATTCCCCATTTGATGAAGGGCCATGGGGAAGTGACCGAGTGAAGTGGTTCTCCTGGTTGGTGTATCATGGGGGCATACTTTTGGCATTGTTCGCATCGGCAAACATATTCCGCTGCGTCTTTCTTCATAGTGGGCCAATAATAGCCGGCTCGTATTATGTAGCGTACGAGTTTCATGTACCTCTTCGAGCACTAGCCGCGTTTGTTGCGGCCCTAGACACTTGGCCAGGGGTCCGCCAAACGTCCTTTTGTAGAGCTCGTGGTTTATCAGGCAATACTGGACGGCCTGTACGCGGAGCTTCTTGGCTTATTTTTTGTCGAGGGGGAGTGTTCCATCCTGCAGATAGGATACAAATTGGTTGCGCCAGTCCCAAGTCAAATTTAAAGAGAGTACCTCAGTGTGATCAATGGCTGAATGGAGGAAGGTGACCACGCTTTCTTTGTTGAAGTTTTTAGTGGCTGCGGCCAATTTTGCTAGGCCATCTGCTTCAACGTTCCGTGCTCTCGGAACTTGTTCGAAGCGGCACTCGTCGAACTCGGTCATTAACCTGTGGATTTCTGACTGGTATTTTTGCAACCTCTGCTCCTTGATTTGGTAAGTCCCGGTGACCTGGTTCACCACGAGTTGAGAGTCGCAATGGAGAACGAGTTGTCGAGCTCCATACTTGATGGCTAGTTTCAAACCTGCAATAACACCCTCGTACTCGGCTTCGTTGTTAGTCATCTCAGGGCATCGTATGGACTGGCGAATTGTTTCGCCCGTGGGGACCTCGAGAACGAGTCCCAGTCCCGATCCCGAGGCGTTAGCGGCGCCATCAGTGTAAAGAGTCCATAGGTCGGCGTTGGAGGGGGCACGGCGTGCCTCTAATTCCGCCTCTGGTAGTATCTCTGCGCTGAAGTCGGCTATGAAGTCGGCAAGTACTTGCGACTTGATGGCGTTTCTTGCATGATATGAGATATCGTGCTCACTGAGCTCTATGGCCCATCTGGCGAGTCTGCCTGATAACTCAGGCTTGTGTAGGATACTTCTCAAGGGGAAGGTCGTCACTACTTTTATGGGGTGGCAGTGGAAATAGGGTCGGAGCTTCCGTGAAGCTACGACCAATGCCAAAGATAATTTTTCAAAGTGTGGATACCGTGTTTCGGCGTCCACTAAGGTTTTGCTAATATAGTAAATAGGAGATTGTGTACCTTCGTTTTCACGAACTAGGACTGTGCTGACGGCGACCTCGGATACGGCCAAATATACCAGCAGTGGCTCGCCTGGATTTGCTTTGGCTAGCAATGGCGGCGAAGATAGTTACGCTTTCAATTTCCTTAAGGCCTCGACGCATTCCTCATTCCACTATAACCCATTGCCCTTTCTCAGCATATTGAAAAACTTATGGCATCTGTCGGAGGACTGTGAGATGAACCTAGACAAGGCGGCTATTCCCCCCGTCAGCTTTTGCACCTGCTTTTTGCTGTTCAGTATCTCGGGTATCGCATCTATCGCCTTGATCTGATCTGGATTGACTTCGATACCTCGTTGTGATACGAGAAACCCTAAGAATTTTCCTGATGCCACGCCGAAGGCGCATTTCTCGGGGTTCAGTTTCATCCCGTACCTTCTCAATATCTCGAAGGTTTCTTTCAGATAGTCGATATGGTCCTCTTTTCTTGTCGACTTTACCAGCATGTCGTCGATATAGACTTCCATAGTCTTACCGAGCTGCTCTTTGAACATTTTGGTGACCAGCCTCTGGTACGTAGCCCCTGCATTTTTGAGCCCGAAGGGCATTACCTTGTAGCAGTAAGTCCATTGGTGGGTGATGAAAGTTGTCTTCTCTTGGTCCTCCTCGGCCATCATGATTTGATTGTAGCCGGAGTAGGCGTCTAGGAAGCTCAGTAGTTCATGTCCTGCAGTGGCGTCGATCAGTTGGTCGATGTGGGGTAGTGGGAATGAATCCTTTGGGCATGCTTTGTTCAGATCAGTGAAATCCACACACATTCTCCACTTCCCGTTTTTCTTTTTGACCATGACGACATTGGCGACCCACTGGGGGTACTTTGATACTCTGATGGAGCCGTTGGCCAGTAACTTGTCTACTTCCTCACTGACCGCTTCATTGATAGCGGCGTTGAATTTTCTCCTCATCTGTCGCATGGGCGGATGTAGTGGATCGACATTCAGCTTGTGGGTAGAGATATCTCGCGGGATTCCCGTCATATCTGAATGGGAAAAGGCGAACAAATCTGCATGGTTAGTTAAGAATTAACGATACTTACTTGGGTTGGCGAGACCGTGCCCGATATAGGCTTTCTTCATAAGATTGGTTTCGTCCAATTGGACTGGGTCGAGATCTTCGATAGTTGCTTTACAGGCCTCCACGACGTCGGGGTCTTTGATGGGGTCCGTTGTCGGGTTGACCTTAGTCCTCGACACGGCTAATTGTTATGCCTCCGCGCTCGCCCCCTTTAGCTGTTGGGTGTGGGCGCAGTCTTGGGCTATTTTGTAGCATTCTTGTGCGGTGCGTGGCTCGCCTCGAATACTGAATACTCCCCATGGGGTAGGGAATTTGATCACTTGGTAGAGGCTTGAAGGGACCGCTCGCATGGCGTGTATCCACGGGCGTCCTATGATAACGTTGTATGCCGTTTCTTGGTTCATCGCATGGAAAGTTGTTTCCAGCGTGACTCCTCCCGCTAAGACGGGCAGTGCTATTTCTCCGGATGTCCGTTCCACTGCATTGTTAAAACCGGTTAGTGTTATGCAGCGCGGTATTACCCTATCCTCGAGTCCCATTTGTACGAGGACCCTTGGGTGGATAATACATGCGCCACTTCCATCATCGATCATGACTCTTTTAACATCCGTATCGGCAATACGTAAAGTGATAACTAAAGCATCATAATGAGGGAAAGACAAACCGTCGGCATCAGACTTATCGAAGGTGATACTATCTTCGAAGTCGTCATACCGTTCATGGGCGATGGTCCGCTTTAGTCTGTGACTGTTGGCGAACTTGACGTGATTGATCACTGACTCGTCACCGCCTCCGACGATCATGTTTATCGTGCGCGCTGGGGAAGGTGGCTTCGGCGGCCCGTGGGGTTGTTCTCGTCCGCGTGCAAAGTTGATTTTCCCTTTGTCACTGAGTAATTCCCTCAGGTATCCCTGGTTCAGCATCCTGACCACCTCTTGCCGTAGGCCTATGCAGTCTTCGGTTTTGTGTCCCCGTTCCTGATGGAACTCACATAGGGCGTTTGATTTCCTTGTGGCAGGGTCTGATTTCATCTTCTGCGGCCACTGCACCTTGGTGCCCAGCTTCTCTAGTGCGTACACTAATTCTGAAGGAGATACACAAAAGTTATGGGCGGTTAATAAAGGGGGCGTACCTCTTTCGTTTCGGAGTGGGGCGACGTGTCGCTGTAGCGCGTCTGTATGCCTTGGTGGCGGATGGGAGGATCTGGTGTATGGCTGATGTCGATCTCTGTTGGAGCGGGGGAGTTGTTCTCGTCGTCCTTCATTCCGTCGATCTCTCCTCGTTTCTGAGTGTATCGCTGTTAGTCGTTGGGTCGGCCCATTAAGATCGTCCTCGTCCGCTCGTACCTCGGCGCAATAGGCGTTGTGGATTTCCTCCCATGTGGTAGGGGGATATTTCATGAGGCGGCTCAGCAGCTTCTTGGTTTCCCTCGAACCATCCCTGCTCAGCCCGTTCTGGAAAGCGGCGACTGTCATACCTTCCGATACGTTTGGTAGACTCATCCTTATCCTGTTAAACCTTGCCAGGAAGTCCCTGAGTCCCTCTCCTGTGGTTTGCCTAACGGCGAAGATGTCGTTGACCCTGGCCTCCGCTTTCTTCGCGCCTGCATGGGCTGTGACGAACTTATCCGCCATTTCCTCGAACGTTGATATTGCATTAGCCGGTAGCTGAGAGTACCATGTTAAGGCCCCTCCTGTCAACGTCTCACCAAACTTCTTCAGCAGTACCGACGGTACCTGTTCTTTCGATAGGTCGTTGCCCTTCACAGCGGTGACGTAGTGGATCAGATGATCCTCGGGATCTGTGGTTCCGTTATATACCCTCAAGTATGGTGGCATCTTGAAGGTTTTTGGGGTGGAGTGAGGGGCAGCTTCTTCAGCGTGTGGTTGTTCAACGAACCTTCCCACGTCGCGCTTTGGTAGCAACTTGGGAGCACCGGGGATCTTGTCGACCCTCTCCTGATGTTCCTTCATCTGACTGCGGAGCGCCTTGTTTTCATTTTCCATTTCTTCCATCTTCTTTAGGATGGCTGTTAGCGTGCTATCGTTGGTCTGTGTCTCGATGGGTTTGTCATTCGCCAGTGCAACTTCCGGTTCACCCACGGCAGCAGTGGTACCTACCGTTGGTGTACACCCGATGTTACTTTGTGGTGACCTCTCAACCAAGCCGCTTAGAGTGCTTGTTAGCCATCTTTCCAGTAGCTCCTTGACCGCTGAGGGTGCTTCCGCAGCCGCAGATATGGAAGCTCCTTTTCCGTGCAAGATCGTCAGACCTTCGGATGGGGAAGGTGAGATCTCTGCACCCGGTGTGATGCTAGGGGTTGCATTCGGGATGCCATCGTCACTGGCCTCGTTGAGAGGGCCAAAGAGATTAGTAGTGACACCCAATATCGCTTTCGATCTTGTGTTATCTTCGGCCATTTTCTGTTTTTGTGTGGTGTAGAGAGTGGTAGTTGGTTGATCTCTAGGTGGATACTATGGTTTTGATTCTCGAAATCCCCACAGACGGCGCCAAATTGTTTGGCTCAAAAGTTAACAATATACTTTGTAAGCTAGAAAACAATCAAAAGTAAGAAAAGGGTAAATCGTAATCAAATATAATAAACCTAGAGATGCAAAGATGATATTATTGTTGTAGATCTAATATTGCAAAGTGATAATATAAACTCAATAAGATATGTTCGTTTGAGGTAGAGATAGAGAGAGAGAGCCAGAAAATGAGAGAGTTGTATTAGATCAGAATCCCCCCATTTACAATGTGAAGGTCTCCTTTATATAATAAGAGACCTTCCTCGAAAGAATCAAAAAGTTACAAAGACAGGTAACGTCTCCCTAGTGAAGACACTGAGTCCTAAACGATGTCGCTTTTGTCCCCACGTCCGAGTCGTACCTGCTACGTTAGTCGTCGTACACTCACTGGGCGTACCCACTGGCGTAGAGATGCTGAGGGTCAAATTTGACCCTATACATATGTATTCAGGAATATTTGCTGCATCAGTACGGTAACCAACTTACTAATGCTTTACGTTACTGGTCGACCACCAAAAATAAAATCTAGCAACTACTTGTGACAATGTGAGGGCAGAAACAAAGCAAGTAAAAATAAGAAAGCTCGATAGATCATGCGAACCTACCAGTTCTTCGTGCTCCTTAATAGCTTTCTTTCCAGCTGCCACTTCCATTTCACAAGCTTCTCTCCATCTAGAGATTTCTTCATAAGCGTCTTTATTTTCTACCACGAGTGCTTCGACCTGGAAGATGAGACGGGGAAAAAGCATGTAACAGTTGAACATCTTAAGGACTGTTACCTTAGTCAGAAACTAACCTTTTGAGTAAGCATCATTTCTCTATCTTCCAACTCTTTAATGTATATCATATTTTCTGCTAGTTTCTGACTTTGTTTGTCTGATAGAATCTGCAGAGACCCCATGCCTGACCTGGCAGTTACTAGATAATTAAACACAAGACTCCAGGTAAAGGATTAAATCAAGGGTAAACTTTCAATCATCCACTCCTTGCCCCAACATACGTATATTTAGGAGTTCGTCAAGCCTTGTGGGAAGAATGAGATTAACAGACAACAAGATCACATGTTTGAGCAACTTTAAAGCAAGTTTATTGAATTCATTTAAAGAGGGGGAATCAACGAGAGTGATATGATCTCATTCTTGAACTTCTTGCAACCTAACAGAAATGATCTCTCAATGAATAATAAGAAGCTTTAAGATTGTACTGTGCTATATATTATACCAGAAAAGGTACACTTTACCACAGCCAATTGATTGAGCGTCATTCAGAGAATGTTATCCTAGTCAATGTAATGCTCCACTGTAGTTAATGACATAATGCTATTACTGCATATTCGAGTTTCATGCTCCCACCTTCACTTGTAAAATTTGAAAGATAATAATTTTATACAAACTTGATCTAAGATAGTATCATATTGGATTCAATCATGCAGTACGGAGTATAAGAAGAAGCTAAAGGAAATACCATCCCTAATTTTAAGGTGGGCATGATAACATCTAAATATAAAGTATAAACATAAAAACTGCATTTTGCCAGGACAATACCTAGATTCCTCCAAAGACCTCTGCAACTGTGTGATTTCAAGTCTTAACTTCTTTGTTATTGTTTCTACAGTTGAGGCCTGGTAAGCATCAATGAATAAATTATATCAGTCTCAGAAACATGCCAAGTGATTTGCTCTCAAGATTATAAAAATACTGCTGTCAAGGTAATGAAACTTCTGTTCTAAAATCTCTATGTACATGCAAAGGTCTAGGAATATAAGCATATCTACTCTATTAAGCTCTTTCAGATTGACATATACATCTTTATATTTGTATGACTATTGATTCTGAAATTTGTCATCTCAATATTTGAATAACTTTACCGATGGGTGACCTTGCTATTCATAGAGTATGCAGAGCGAAATATAGAATTTAGAGCCACGGTTCAAAGTTAGCACGGTCTTTAACATATGTAAATATGTGTGTGCCTGTGTACGCGCATACACTTTTTTTTTTTTTTGTATACGTATAGATGCTCTGAGCCAAAAATGTTACCAGACTAACAGCTTCTATTTGGCATTCATCGTTATCTGACTTAACGCTGGTATCAGAATCCAAATTATCTGAAGATGCTTCACTGGTTGCACTTCCCATCATAAACCCAAACCCAAACCCAACCTTTTGCAACCCTCTCTCTGCAATCTGCAAAATTGCAGCTCTCTTCTGTTCAGTATTTCCCCTTAATCTGTTCAAACTCTTCTCCGCTGCTTCCTTCTCCACCAAAGCAATTCTAAGCAAGCTATTAATATCTCCATTCTCCTCCGCTAAACTCGCCACACTGTTCTCTAATTCTCTCTTCTCCTTTCTCCTCATTTCCTCATACTCTCCCCATTTTTCCTCTACCAAATTCACCAGCTCTAGAACCTTCTTCAGCTCCACTGAAAAAACAGCCTTCTCTTCATTTAATGGTTTTGTTTTTTCGCACTTTAACTGATCAGAACTTCCCGTTCTATACATACGTGAATTGAAATTCTTAACCAATCTCAGTAAGCCATGCTTCGCTGATCGCACGATCTCCAAATTACGCGAACAAATTTCTGATTGCTCTCTTTTCTCATCTAATAATTCCTCAACTCTCTTCCTAGAAACCTCAAGCTCGGTGTTAGTTCTCTCTATTTCTTTGTGAAAATCAATTTCTCTCAAGCGAAAATCATTCTCAAGTCTCTCCTTGATTGCCTCTGAAAGATCGATATATTGCTTGGCAACATCGTCCTTTTGCAACTTAATTTGGCGGAGGAGATCGTCCTTTTGCGTCAACTCCGATTTTAGGCTTTGGTTGGAAGCGCGAAGAGTCTCGAGATCAGCGAGTAGAGAGCTGTTTCGTGAGTTTAAATCGGAAATTTCGCCGTCGGAGAGATGGTGAGTTTCCATTGGATCCGTATGTCTCCATAGTTTGTGATTAAAGTTGTCATGAAGAGAATGAAGCGACCCCTCACAGGGCAACTACCAGTCAATGAAAAATGAATTTCCGTTAGGTGATGAGGGTTATATATCAAATTTGGCGCGGGAACTTTTAGTTACAAAATCACACTTCTTTCATTTTATTTGGTTTCCTACGCAATGTTCGGTACTAATATTGGGGATCCGACTTAATCCGGATTCGCGTCAAGAAGTCCCACATTGGGGATAAAGCGCTTTATCTAACAAGGACGATTCCATACCCAAAGCGCTAACTTGATACCTTTGGTTAAGGATTAACGAGTACTTACCACTCTACCATGACCTTGCTCTTTCATTTTATAATAACATATCTTCAAAAGGGAAAATGATAATAAAAAGATTAACAAGCTTTCTAATAATATGATTGTCACTCTTGTTAGAACAGACAAAAAAATAGAAGTGTGTGTAATATTAACTGAACATAACAAGAAATTTGTTCTGTGTAAATTTTGAGAAATTATTGTGGTCGTCTAACGTCTTACAAAATAATAGATACAATCGTACTGTCTTTCAAACTTTGCAAAAGAAAAAGAATCGTCTTTGAAACTTATTGTGAGCTTCCTTGTCTAAGATATACCAGGAAGGGTGTTTGCTACGTGGGATAAGAATAATAATTCTCGCATAAAATTTGGGATTAATTTTATCACATGTTTGATGAGACAATTTTTAAACTAAAATAGTAGGATTAGTTATCACATATAGAAGGTAGGATAATCAATCCCATAGAATATTCCATCATATCTTGGTATATCCCACCATTGTACCAAACTACCCAAATAATGTAGCACTCTGAATTTTGGATAAGATATAAGATTTTATATTTAGCGCTTTTAATGCTTCCTTCATCTCGACCAACACTAGAAATTACGCATCAACTTCATTTACTTTGCTAGTTGAATGAATTGATTGTAAATAATAAAAATATGTATAATTGACTGTTGTTCACTTATGTTAAATGAAATGTTATGATTTCTCTTCCACCTCAACTTTTTATAGCAGACCATGGAGTATATCTGTAAAATTAACTCATATGTTATATTGAGAATTAGAAAAATATCTCACATCAAAGCTTAAAATTCGAAACGCTAATAAAATTGAGTTTTGTAAATTGTGAAAGTTATATATAAAAAAATTATTTTTAGTATAATAGTTTCAAACATTATGGACGTTCCAAAACTGAAAGACAGATCATATAAATTGTAATACATGGAATACTTTTAAAATATTATAAAAGTTTCATGTAACAACTTATATTTTCAACCATTCTCTTTACAAACGTGTAACGTTTAAAAAAAACAGATGTAGTAGTATGAAATTGTTGAGAAAATTAGTTACATAAAATTTTCTCAGAATAAATCTGCAGACTGCAATAATATAAAGTATTATTACTACATTATTTTATATTAACTTGAAGTATTTGTAAGAGTACAAATTGCCAGTTTAGATAATATCCATGAGACAGACCAAAATATAAAGTAGATTAAAAGAGTAAGGAAATAAATTTCATTCCCATGTTTAGTTGGCCCGCTTCTTAACATTAGATAGAACTAGAAGTCCCCCTCGTCTACCTATTTTCTTCGCCAACCAAACTAAGGAATATCTTTTGCCTTTCCATTTGAAAGAATATTGTTTGACCAAACAGACCTTTTAGTTAAACCAATTAATAATAAAATAAAGAGTAAATTCTACAAACATAATTAACTTTAGGTCTAGACATATTGGATATGAGAATCAAATTAATGAGGCTGAGTTTATATAATATTTCTTAGAATGATTAAAAGGCATCAAATATAAATTATAACCTTATATTTTTGACATATTGTTGACCAAAAAATGTTTGTAAAAGCAAAGAAGATAAAGAAGGAATCCCATTGATAACTATGAGATCTAGCTTTATTGATTCAACAATGGTGTGTACAAAGATTTGTAACCCGTAATCTAGACTTCTTGCTTTGTTACTCAGAGGTCTCCTCCAAGACTTCTGTCTGTTTTTCCCTTCTGGGATTCCCCTTCTTTCTGCTTTTTCCTCCATATATATACTACCCAACTTCCACTTTATCCAACGGTCTGTGACTCGCATACCCCTTCTCAACTATCTTCCTCTTTACTTGCTCAAGCACGACCGCATATATTCTGCTGTGCAAGTCTTCTCGATGGCTCGATCTCGGCAGTGGACGGGACGCTTGTCGCCATTACGCCTTACTGGTACGTCCATGGCTTGATCGACCCCTTACCGTTCCCCATGGCTCGAATAGTGGTAATCCACTTGTGGTCAGATTTTGACCCATACAAATATAAAATTGAAAGAATTATTTTATATATTTTTTAAATTTATTTTTTGAACATTTGTTTTCTCTATACTCCTTTGACTTGATACCAGACACACAATCCATAAGCAACATTCGACGAGGCCCCGGGACCCGGATTACCTAAAATTTGTTTGGGACATCAATTACGACCTAAACTACTGTTAGTTTGTATGAGTCCACCAAACAGTAGAGTACCTGGTCCTCTATGTGGTTGTACTGAGAATGCTAATGAAACAGTAAGTAAATCAGACACGGGATTTTTACGTGAAAAAATCCCAACTCAAGGGGACCAAAACCATTACCTACACCCGTAGGCTTTCAACTTCACTAACTTGTAAACACCTATTACAAGTCACTTTGTAATGACTCCATTACAAAGAATTCAACTCAACTAACTTGTGATACTCTTACCACAAGCCACTTTGTCACTCTCTAGTTACAAAGACTTTAACTTATGACTAAACCTAGTCACAACATAAACTCAGAGAGTTTACGGATTTTACAAGAGGGTTCCTAATCAACGCTTCTGGCTAAGCAGTTTAGGAAATACAATAAGAACAATCACAAAGTTACAACTCAACTAGGACAACAAAATACTAACTTTAGGAACTGGTCCGTAGTAGCGTTTAACTTTGTTCTTCAAGATCTTGAGAATTTTGTTCACACTTTTGCAAAAGGCTTGAATGAATCAAATCAAGTATTCAAGTGATGTTTTGATATAAACTCCTTGTTGATACACCTTGATGCAAGGCTGTATGTGGTCCCGGGCCCGGGCCTAAATGGGCTAAACGGGCCGGGCTAAACGGTCCCGGGCTTAGCGGTCCCGGGCTCTGGCGGTCCCGGGCTTCGCGGTCCCGGGCTTCGTGGGCTCAACGGGTAGGACCAGCCCGTGACGGGCCTAAGCCCATATGGTCCTGGGCTAAATGGGCCGGGCTCGTGGGCTTAGCGGGCCTAACGGGCTTTTTTTATTTTCGGGCTTTTTTTTTTAATTTTTTTTATTTAGGGCAATTTCTTGTAAACCGTATGTGTATGTATATATATAAATTGCTCTTATGCATGGCTATATAAATATATGTGGTATATATAATATAGAAATCTAATTATTAAAGTGTTTGACGAAAATGTAAAATAACAAATCAATAGTAAAACTAAATTGGCATGCATAATAAATTAATAACAAAGTACAACATGAAGCATAAATACGTCTAATAATTTTAAAATAACACAAATTGTTGAAAAATCTTAAAGACGAATTTGCGGATAAATACCCTCAACACAATACTTTATATGCCTCCTTAAAATGCCTGTGGTACACCCTGAACGAAAATTTAAGACTCTTCCACAGTTCTTGCACTTTAATATTTGGCCTTCTTCATTTTCTTCAAGCACTTCATAGTATTGCGACACAAATAAGCGCACTCTTTCCGAACGAGGCATGATTTAACTTGAAAATTGAGATTGAGACTTGAAGTCTTGAAAATTGGAGATTGAGAGATTGAGAGAAATTTAGATTGAGAAATGAGTATTGAGTATTGAAATGAAGAAGAGGGAGGGGGG